CGCCATGGTCGCCTGCCAGTCGCCGAGGGTGAGCTGTTCCATGGGCGGGCGGTGGTTGACCCCCGCGGCGTTGACGAGGATGTCCGGGACGCCGCCGTGCTGCTGCTCGATGGCGGCGGCGGTGGCGGCGAGGGCGTCGGGGTCACTGACGTCGCAGGAGAAGGCGTGCGCCTCGATTCCGAGCTTCTTGAAGTCGAGGACGGTGTCGGAGAGCGGTTGCTGGCGGCGGGCGAGGATGATGACCTGGGCGCCTGCTTGGCCCAGGGCTGCGGCCATCTCGCGCCCGATTCCCGAGCTACCGCCGGTGACGACGGCGGTCTTGCCTGCGAGACTGAATAGAGATTCTAGGAATTTCATTGAGGCCGCCATTGTTGTTGTGACGCTTTACCCTTGTTGTTCTCTGTGGTGGTTTTGAGGAGTGGCCTTGCGATAACGGAGGTGAGTGAGCCATAGCTTTGGAATTGCGATTGGCGGGGAGTCATTCGTCCATCCCTTCATACCGAATTAGGAGTATCGCAAGCGAATCGAGGACCATAACCAGAACTTTGTGCATTTCTCTTTTCTCTGAATTCATAAATACATTTGGGCTGATGTTCCCTGCTCCCTGGTTCATCTAGCCCTCCGTAGCTATCTTGTCGTTCGGCAGCCTAATGTTTATGATAGATCATATTCATACTCGCCCTCTCACAAACATATTTTCCTCAAATTTCAGAACTTCCTAATCTTGTGATCATGCTAACTTCGATGGCTGGTGAGTCACTGACCTATCTATCGAGCTTCCTTGCCTCACAGACAACAGGGTTAATGGTGTACCGCGCAAGGACGGCGATCACTTTAAGATAGTTCATGTATGCATACGCATGTCTCATCTGCCCAATAAACGTCCGTCCCTGCTTAGTTGCTGGAACCATAGCGAATGGATCGACAAATAGGCGTGCATTATCGCAGTTCAGCTGTGGTGGCTGAGTGCATAAGGTCATGGCGTAGGGCACCTAGAGACCAGATTATCTACTAGCTCAGCTACGTAATAAAGTCCAGCCATAGAGAAAATACGATCATATGTAAGGGCTGCATAAGGTGAGTGGCGGGTGACGGTGATGTTGAATGGTTTGTGCGAGCTGCTTCGTTTCATTGGCTTGAATCAAGCCTCGCAAAGTGCCACAACTGAGCCTATACGGCGACCAAGGAGGGATATACCTTGTGGAACTTGCAGGTGCATAATAGCCACAAGAGTTCTGGCTCAGATACTGTGAGGGTTTTGTGGCCGTCTTAGTTTTGGAGACACTTACGGTTTCAAAAATAATATGTAACGTCCACTCTTAAACATTTTAACCTCCTGGCCACTAAACAAGGCAGGAGTAACAGAATATTCAAGCTTATCTTGAGTAGACCCCTGAGTTTTTAGGGCCCCAGCTGAAGCGTAGCTGAAAGGTTGCCTGCATAAGCTCGCATAGGGCAGCTGACCATCCCGAGCCAATAGCTGCGTCACGCCCGATGACGACGAAAACCAGGTATTGGCGATACCCGGTTTGTCGAGCAGATCTGGGGTTTACCGGCAATCTTGAACGGTATTGCCAGAAGCTAAAGCACGGAGAGAGCCGGCCACCCTATCAAGTACCCATGTTGAAGCTCCTGGCTTGAAATGTGCAGTCTTCTCCTGGCTTTACCGTTCCCTCCACACCAATTATTCGCGGGAATCACGAAATTGCGCCCGCTGACTTCTCGTAAGCTGCGTCTTCACGATAGTTTAAGCCATAGGGCTGAATCTAGACCATAGAGGCCGCCCATGCGGAAGCAAGAAGGAGGATAGGCTGGTGTGGTCATTGGTTGGCAAGCCAGGCAGCTGGATGCCGCACGGGTGTAGTAGCTGGACTTATATGAATTAGGAGCCATCTTTCTTTTTCTTGGCTATCACATTGTGATGATGGCTGAATTCCATGAATGGGAAGGCAAAGAAACAGCCAGTGGCTGCTAGGCAGAGGCACTAGATGATCAGCTTACGGGCTCCTGATCATGATTGCCCAGAGTTGAAGGAGGGCCTAGATTGACAAGGCAGACTGCGTTCAGCTACTCTATACGTATTGTTTGAAATGCTTATTGCCAGGAGATCCAGAGGAAATTGGTATAAAAGGGACGGAGTTCTCTCTATAACGTCTTCTGGCATAAGACAACAAATCATCTTCCCTCTACAGCTAGCAAAAACACTTCCAAACATCACACAGAATACCTTCCACTTTGAGTTTCAGTGGCCATTATAGTGGCCATTATAGATAACCATTATGTCTATCGAGAAGTTGGACGCTGATAGTCAGGAGAATCGGGGCCCCCAGCCTCAGGAATTGCCTGCCACCGAACAACAGCCCGTCTCTCACAGTCATGATTCTGTCCCAAAGCTGTCTTTCAAGCCAGCAGATATCAAAGACATCCCTACCTTTGCTCTTGGCGATACCCTCGATGTGACCCCAGTGTTCAATTATCTTAAACACTATGGCCACATCACCGCTGCGACCCCAGCCCCAAGCCCCGACAAGCCTGTCGATGAGAACACCGTCTCGGGACTTCGCTCCTTCCAGGAGTTCCTGGGCCTTGAGGTTGATGGCGTTTTCGGCCAGCAGACTCGCACCGCCATGACGGCCTCCCGTTGCGGTCTCCCAGACCATGACTCCGTCGCCGTTGATGCCCCTTCTTTCTCAGCCGTCGGACCTTGGGGTGATCGCAACATCCGATACACCTTCGGTCCCATGTCCCGCCACGCCACTGCTGATTCCTGCAAGGCTGCTATCCGGCGTGCGCTTGCCACCTGGGCCAACGCAGGTGTCGGCCTCACCTTCACCGAGGTTGCTGCCAACCAGAATCCGGAGGTCTATGTTGACTTCCGCAACGCTAACGACCCAGACTATAACATGGTGGGAGGCGTCCTTGCCCACGCCGACTACCCACCCGGATACTCTGTCGTGGTCAGGAACCTCCCTCTGCCTGTGCACTACGATGACCAGGAGCACGTGTGGGTGAACGGCGCGGTTGCCAATGGCTACGACATCGAGACCGTCGCACTCCACGAGTTTGGCCACATCCTCGGCCTCGCTCATACCAACGTAGCGGGTGCGGTCATGTTCCCCAGCGTCAGCTCCAACTTCACCCTCCGCAACCTCTCCCAGGATGACCGTCTCGGCATCCGGAACCTCTACCCCAACTGGCGCAGCATCGGCGGTATATTCACCGGTAAGAGCTTTACTCACCCATATCCACGAAAAAAACTACACACACTAACAGATTATCCCGGCAACAGGCTCCCCGGCCGTCGTCTCCTGGGCCCCAGGCCGAACAGACGTCTTCGTCCGCGGTACCGACAACGCCGTCTACCACAAATGGCAGAACGGGGGCGGTACAGACTTCCTCCCGGCCGGCAACTTCGAGAACCTCGGCGGCACCATCTTCAGCAACATCTCCGCCGTCTCCTGGGGCCCGAACCGCATCGACCTCTTCGCCCTCGGCACCAACAACGCCTGCTGGCACCGCTGGTGGGACGGCGCCGCCTGGAGGGGGTGGGAGAGCCTGGGCGGGCTCTTCGTCGGCGACATCTCCGCGGTGTCCTGGGGCCCCAACCGCATCGACCTCTTCGGCCGCGGGATGGACAACGCCGTCTACCACAAGGCGTGGGACGGCTCCGCCTGGAGGGGGTGGACCTTCCTCGGCGGCAAGGTCGTCGGCTCGCCCGCGGCCGTTTGCTGGGGCCCCAACCGCATCGACTGCTTCGTCCGCGGGCTGGGCAACGGCGTGCACCAGAAGACGTGGAACGGCAGCGCGTGGCTGCCCTCTGTGACGGGCTGGA